ACGAACTACTAAAAACATGTACTTAATTTAAAGTTTGAGGTCAAGGTCAAGGTCAGGTCAAGGGTACAAATTGCAAGTTTCTACAGTATCGGCCTTGCACCGTAGTTGCCGAAGAATGGAGTCATGGACTGAGACTGATCGCCCAAAACGTGTTCTTAGGCTACCAAGACAATATTCGTTGCATACAATATCATTCAGAGGTCAAGGTCAAGGTCAGGTCAGGTCAGGTCACCAAAAAACAAAATATAGAAAAGGGCATGTGCGACACATGTTTTATGGGTCATTTTACTCATAGAATTTAATAGGCACACTCAATAAGTGATATGGACCACCTCTGGATTAATTTCAGGTCGAGGTCAGGTCAAGGTCAGGTCAAGTGAGGTCAAATTTTGAAGTTGGTTGTTAAGGCCTAAAAAGGTGTCTATCTGATGCAGTTTTTCACGGCGAATCGAATGGTGCTATTTTTGTTTCCGTACGAGGTCTAGAACTTCCAAAAAAGTCATTTTTCAAAAATTTGTGTGTCGTGACGTCATAAAATTTTGAATAACTCCCACATTTTTCAACTGATTCTTCTAAAATGTGGTACGTAGGTGCACATAGACCACTTCTCTGACATATATTCCGGTTTTTTCGATAGACTCAAAATTTTGGATTTTATAATGATTTTCCCAAAAAAGTCAGTTTTTTGAAAAAATTTAGGCCAAAATCCAACATTTTCAAAAAACCGAGATAGCCATTTGATAGACAAAGTAAAATTACGTATAACCTTTTTTGTTACGTCTTGATTCCTTTAAAAATGAAGATGTTAGCGGCGTTTGGACTTTTGCCGTTTTTGAGGCGAAAATGGCAAACATGACGTCACTAAAACGTCAATTTCTCAAAAATTTTCCGACGGATTTCGCTCAAATTTTCAGGGAACGTGTCAAATTGATGTAAGAAAAGGTACTGAAAGTTTGGCGGCGCTGCGCGCCGCCGTTTTTGAGATATCGCAAAAATTCGCGAGGGGGGGTAAAATTTACCCCCCCCCCCCAGCCCCGCGCGGGTTAAGTCGGTCGATGCTTATGACGTCTTTCAGTTGGAAGACTCGACCAGTTTGGATATTTTGCGCTTCGAGGTCGACAGCCATCGTTTGCATGGTGTTGATGCCTGACACTGTTTTGATGTCCATTTTTCCTTCAGGTCCTGACAGTCCCAGTTCTTCAGCCAGGGACCGGTCCATCAAAGTTATGGAGCTGCCTTCATCTAAGAATGCCCTACATCTCTTCTTTCCTTTGGCAGTCACTACATCAATGACACAGGTCTTCATTAAAATCCGCTGTGTTGAAGCTGGCTGTGTCGCGCCGATCACCTCAATCGGTGGGTCTCCTCCAATCCTCCATGCAGAAGGACATGATGCCGCTGCTGACAGCCTTTCATTCGGCAGGGCCGCTTGCGGTGGCAGTTGTTGGTGTCGTGTGTTTTGGATAGGCATTGAATGCATACGTGGTTTTTGGTTGCCCACTGCTGACGGTCCTTCACTGTCATCCGTTTGAATGATTCACATCGTTGTATGAAGTGTTATCCATCGCAGAAATAGCATCGTACCTCGCTTGTCGTTGCACAAGTCATTTGCTTAGGGCGAGACACGGGACGCCTTTCGACTCGTTTCGTCTTGAGTCTGGCCTCACTCATGTCGGTGTCCAGGCAGAACCGTCTGTCGCGCACATGACTCCTCATGAATGCGCAAAACAGTTCACATGTGACTCTTCCGCCGCCAACCTTGGATCTGCCGTACAAGCCCCATTCATTGCGGCTTTCCTTTGGTAGCTTCGCGGCCAGCTTCTGAATAACGCGAAGGCTATCGAGCTCGGCCGCGTGCCCGATCGATCGCAGTATGACGATTGTGTTGGAAATATCTGTACAGAATTGTTCCAGTTGTTCGACGTCATCTTCTCTGAGCTGGGGAAAGTTCAGCAATTTGTTTACGGTCCTGCTGACGATAATCTGTGGGTTTCCGAATCGTTCCTCGAGAATGGCCCACACTTCTTCAAAGGAGGCTCCCGTGAGCAATGCGCCATGGACGGCCTGGAATGCCTGTCCTATGAGCCGCTCCTTCAGGTGACGCAACACCTGTACCTTTGAAATCTGCGAATGAATTGCATCCATCACTTGTGCCTTGAAAAACGGGAACTCTTCGTATTTACCGTCGTATGCGGTAAAGTCCAGTTTCGGCGCATCTCGCAAGTAAATCGTTTTTCCCGTCAAAACCTCGTCCACGGCTGTACATGACGGTTTCTTCGGCGCTGTTTCGTATCCAGCGGCTTGGAACGGCCTGTTTGACACATCATTGTCTCTGAAAACGCCTTGTGCCTCGTCTGGCATGGCTTCGATTAGTCGTGAGTCAGACGACGAAAGTGAGTCTGTGACAGAAGCCGAATGTCGGCTCAGTCTTAATTCGTTTCGGTGTTTGAGCTTTTCTAAAGCAAGTTGTGATTCTCGAATGATCACTTCGAGCCTTCGCTCTTCTTCCTTTTGAAGCTGTGCTGATTCGATACTGCATTCTGACAACGAATCGCATTTTGCCTCTGAGACCGTCTTCCAAGTTCTGATGGATCTTGGAGCCGGTGTCGGTGGTGACGATCTTCGTCTCGGAGTTGGCGTCGGCATATTACGCCTTACTGCCGGTACCGGTCTATCCATTTTAACTCTACGTTACTTATATTTAATGTAACTTCCGTTAAATGCAAATAAATATTTTATTCAAGCAAGTTAATATTATGCTTACATATCAAAGAAAGCCGGGTTTTTATGATGTTACCGAAGTAACTGTTTGTTAAGATATCTATGTTATAGTTCAGAATATCGATAATATTCTAGTGGAGACCGCGATTTTATAACTGAATAAGTTTATCACAAATCCAATTGCAATACTCGTATATATTGCCTGTATAAAATCTCGAAACGATCCGTCACAAATTCTCACAATTTTTCAGAGCAGCATGCGACATAAAAAGCGAAAATAACAATGGAAGGCGTGAATATTAGGGACAGGTCCTTTCCTATCCCGCGCCCAGATGGGGTCTGCCGAGCAACGCGGTCTGATGGGGGGGGGCCATTTTGGCCCCCCCTCAGATCTCGAGAACCACGCAACATAGCGACAAGCGGTAAACGGTGTTGGATAGCCCCAACAGGGAACTACCTTGTGACCCAATTTCATTGACCTCGGTCAAACCGATGACGTCACAGGTCAGGTCAAAGGTCGAATTTTCACCGTTTACAGGCATTTCAAGAAATGCGTTGTAAAATCGTGTAAAATGCATTTCATTGAAAATCATCGATGGGGAAATGTTCTTCAAACACATATTTTGCTATTTGAGGTCACTGATACCAGGTCAGGTCACAGAGGTCAGGTCACTGGGGGGTCACAATATGAAAGTGTCGTGTGATACATGTTTTATGGTCCATTTTACATGACAAATGCGATTATGTGGGTCAGACAGACTTTAGGGCCAGCTTAGGTCATGTTTTGGTCAAGGTCAGGTCAAGGTCAGGTCAAATTAGGTCAAATTTCAAAGTTGATATTTTTGCATAAAATGGGTATCGATTCGATGCAGCTCGTCACGGGGAGTTCAATGGTGGTCTCCGTTTTGCGCTACGAGGTCTAGAATTGCTAAAAATTGAGTTCAAAAATTTGACGTCATCAATTTTTAACAGTTTTTTCGCTATAACTTGGCCAAAAAAAGAGATATCGATCTAAAATTTGGTATGTATATCGAAGAGCGCAGGGACTATCACATATATTCCGGTTTTTTCGAAATTCGAAAAATTTTTGGAAATTTTTTGAGTTTTTCTAAAAAAATCATTTTTTTTGATTTTTGGGGGTCAACATCCAAAAATTTCAAAAATCCGAGATAGCAGTTTTGTAGCGCCGTTTTTTCTCTACACAACCACATAAAGAACTTTAAAATTGCTTGTGAACTGTAGAATTGGTGAGCGTTTCAAGATGTCATGTTTTTTGCTCATTTTTACTCGAACATGACCTCAGTTTGACCTCAATAACTCCTGACCTGAGGTGACCTGTGACTTGAAATTTTGTGTGAAGGTGTCAAATTGATGTCCGGTAAGGTACCCAAAATTTGGCGGCGCTGCGCGCCGCCGTTTTCTCGCTATTTAAGAAAAACCACAGGGGGGGGCAAAATGGCCCCCCCCATCAGGGCGCGGGCTATAAATGTGAGGCACTCTCACAGAGCGGAATAAATCACCAGGTCAGAAGTTACCTGTAGTTCAAGAAATTATTAAAGTATCATGCGAAATAAAATGAAGCACAGTATATATGTACAATGAGATGCATCTTCAACAGGTGCGAATTACGGAAAGGTGTAAGTTACGGCAGAGCTTTATGAAACGAGGCCCAGGTCACAAACCCGGTACAAGGTCAGGGGAAAATTGGACTAGTTTAGCGGCAACTGAATGCCAGATTTTTTGTTGATAGCGTGAGTTCTATAGCACATAGCGCTACCAAATTTCAGACACGACTTGGAGCATCTGTTTGTCACTTGACCTAGGAGTTTTAGGTTCCAGTGACCCGATTTCAGGTCACAAGGTCACAAAAACTGGTACATTGTCAAAATAGCACTAAAATGCACTATTTTGTTCATGAAACTACAGTTCTTCATTGATTTCATTCAAACTTGCAGGATACGCTTAGCTCACCGAATGCCATCATATACACGCCAGTTTTTTCCAATTCGGTTGACCTGAGGTCATCTAGAGGTCATCACAAATTTAAGGAATTTTGCTTCAATGTGTAAAGATGAGAGATTTGTGTTCTATTTTAACGTTCTCAACCTTGATGGCTAATCATGTTATAGAAAAGACGTTACTCAGTCACTCAGATACTCCTACCCTCAGCCACTCACACCCTCAGCCACTCAGTCACTCACAGCGTCACTCAACGACTCAGAGTCACCTACCTTTGATATGATGTCTGATACCGGTGCGCCCTGTTCATCTGTCGCCAGTTCAAGGAGATCAACCGGGCGCATGCCACTCTCAGCGATTCAGTGAAGCGTAACATCTACGACAGCTACGGCTCGCTGGGGCTGTACATCGCCGAGCAGTTTGGCGAGGAGAACGTCAACACCTACTTCCTGGTGACGTCCGGCTGGTGCCGCGCCCTGTTCGTCTTCTGCGGCGTCATCACCGGCTGCTACCTGTGCTGCTGCTTCTGCTGCTGCTGCAACTTCTGCTGCGGAAAGTGCCGGCCGGCACCGCCCGAGGAGTCGGGAGACTACCACAACTTGGAGGTGAGAACCACGGGAGCACGCAGACAGGCAGCCAGCGCGCCTATTCAGGATACCTGAGAAGATGGTTCATTGTTATGCGCTGCCCGATGTCCTAAAATCCTCTCCATGAGGGCACAAGTTCCTGCGCATGAACACATTACCGCAACCTTGTACTAGTGCAGGTGAGTGACACTGCTCATGGACTCAATGAACCTTTAGGCATCCCGTTTAGCTCATAAGATATCACTGGCATCGCGTAAATCCTGCTCACGAACACGTTTAGGGAATGTCACAGCTGCGTCATTCTTTTTGTAACGATTCCTTCCATTTCGGTATCAGCTATATACTTTTCAACTAATTCAGACTAGAAACTAAGGTTAGTAAGTATGCATTTTCTGGTACCAATAATTTAAACATAGCTAGTATATGAAATTGCCTGAAGTCGTCACAGTTCAATACTATATTTTTTCATATACAAACAAAATGTAGATCCTACCTTGTGAGTCATCCAGATAAAATGGGCGCTTTCCGCGCTGTTGGTGTACCCGATGTTCTATATACTGCTTTGACCGGTCGCACGGCTGAACAGCTGTCGCTAGCACAGTCTCTGACAGTGAAATCCCGCTAGCCTTTCTTGTGCGACTGGTTTGCTAGTACACATTTTCGTATGGCATTTCTTCGTCCACAAAACTTCGTCCGCGCATTTCTTCATATCCTCTTTTCTTGGTGTTCACATTTTTTCGTCGGTGCATTTCATCGTAAACTTGCGGACGAAGATTTACGGAGGGGGGAGGAAATGATGCGTGACGAAGCTTTTCGGGGGAAGAAATACGGACGAATAATCGCGCGACGAAGAAATGGCATACGAAGATTTGTCATGGAATCCTTGGAAATTGAAGTCACGTTTAAGGCCATCAATTGTCACGTTAACAGTTTGTGTTGAGTTTATGTTGCAGTGACAGTGAGTGAGTGCGTACTGTACGAAATAATCACAGAAACACATTCTATTCCTCACTTCCACATGTTTTATTATGTTTTATTTTTATATCTGGTCAGTGGTCAAAAGTCATCACTGGGTAGGCATCATGGTTTTCTCATGTGGATTGTGATGTAACTACTAACTGGTGATATTGTAAAAGTTATTTTTAGTGCATGTTCATTTGTTGTAACTTCAACACATTTCACATTGCCCTATTTCTAGTGTTGACATGTTATATATTCACGTCAACAGTCAACACTCAATTTATATTTGCAACGAAGCCTCTGGAACAGTTGGTATTGAATACTTTATCTAGCCACCTTGACAGGGGTGAAGCTGTCAACGTCATCATGTTTGACTTTTCATGCGGATCTATGATCTCATTGGATCTCTGACAAAATGGAGGAGTCGGATCTATGATCTGTGTGGATCCCGATCCAGATCCATGGAATCAGATCTCAGATCCAATTTTCTGGATCCATGCATATGTCTGACTGAAAATATGGTTGAGTCATAATTTGAATCGAATCATACATTTGTTGTCATGTTGAGTCATGAGTCAAATCATGTTTTTCATGTTTGAGTCATGAGTCGAATCGAATCATATATTTTTTGTCATGCTTGAGTCATGAGTTGAGTCGAATCATTTCGGTTGAGAAATTTTGAATCAGAGTCGAGTCGATTCAATTTTAGAAAAATCTCTTCTGAATCGACTCACCAAAAATTTGAGTCGTATACATCCCTGCAATCATGGCAGTTGCACGATCACGCAGATAATTCGAATAAATCATGATCGCCAACCAGATTAGCTTTTGTAGCCCATATATGTCCATCAGTTAAGTTAAAAATACAAAGAGTTGAATTAAAGGCAAAAAATGTATTTATGTATAAAAAAACGCCGACCGCAAAACATCTGCTCACATGTGCATGCACAGGTCTGGCCCACTTACATTGCGCGCGCAGGGGAAGGGAGGCGTCTCGACCGCGGGTATAGGCACGATTAGTGCGTCCCGCAGGCCAGAGGGGGCCTCACTCACAGGCCACAGCACGAACACCACAGTTCACAGATTTCACTTTTTACTGCACAAATGCTGGGACAGCCCTCGTCGCTGCTCCAGGCTGCACGGCGGCCGCGCGATAACTGCTGGTTCGAAACCGCCGCGCCGGGGCCCGCTAACGGCGGGCGGCGACCGCTGATTGGTCCGCCAAGTCTGACGTCAGGCGCAGCTGACCATGTGTATGCTGACCAGCTGACCAGTACAAGTTAGGCGCCGGTTAAATAACCATGCGGCAACAAGTTTCCAAAACTGGTTAAGAAACAAACGTTGAAACAAATGTAGAGTTGGTCTGGATACTGAGAAGTTGGTGTGCATAGTAACTATTGACTCGTAGTTGTCACTTGACAAGCAATGCACCAGACAACGGCTTGTTTAAAAAGTATCAGTTGGTAAACATACTAAGAGATGATTGGTTATATTACACAAGACTTGTCAATTTGGTTTACAGTGTAGAACAAGCAACATTCAATTCTTCAAATAAAAAAATACATTATTAAACCAAAAAGTTCAAAATTTCGCATTTTCGGGGTACGGAAAGCCAAAAATAACTGCGCAAAAGTCGCTGCGTTTTCACATATGTTTGGAAGTCTAGAACGTTGTTGGTTCTTGGACAATATCAACCAAATTTCCAGGCTACCTTTCTCATGTGCAAGAGTGTCACTACATTTCGAAGATTAGAGTTTTAGAAAATCATAGGCGTGTTCAGGTAGGCAAAACAAAACGGGAGGGGGATATTTTGTATGCTTAACTCCGTTATATAGCGCCTGACATGTTTTGCGATGATAATTTAAGATCTGCGATACCTAACAATAATGCCTCTGCTTAGGAGAGGTGAGTCTGCGCGATATGTCAACCGTGTCAAGTGCACCAGAAAAAGGTACCACTTCTGATACCAATCAACACTGTCTTTGTAAATTACTCCTCCCGCCTTTGCTCCCCCTCACAGATGCAGCACACTCACAAGTTCCTTTCGCTCACATCTTTTCCATCCACCTACTCAAGTTTGCATTGCCTCCTATGCCTAAGAACTAAGATGTAGAAATTGAGAGACGTAGGTAATTGTGAATGTCTTATTGGACACCGATAGAGTCCTAACTCCTATGCATTCATATGATTGCAAAACTGGCCCACGTGGTTTGCAACGAATTGGGATATCAGTAACAAACACCCAGTTGATCGGTACCTAAGTCATTAGTTATAGGTACTTTGAAAAGGTCACAGTAGTTTTCACTTTCACTTTCCATCCTGTTATATATAAGCCTATAGGGGAAAGGCATTGTTTACTTTATTGCAGATTGCAAAGAATACACACCATTTTCTAACATGAAACACAATGTCAGGTGAAGCGCAATGAGATGATCTACAAAATGAGAGGTTACAAGCTCAGTTCAGTCGAGCATAACTCGTGATATAAGCCATGACGTGCTAGAATTACGAAATCGCCTACTGTGCGCTGGCCACTTTCTTTTGGTGTTATGAACTAAATGGCATGCACGTGCTTTCTGTTAATGTCACCTTTTTAATTATGTCAACAATAAGTATTTGTCCATTAAAATATTTCCCATTTTGTGTTTGCCGCCTTGCATTGTCGGAAAGTGTAGTATTGAATAGTAAATTCAATACTATAAATAGTAAATAGTAAATAGTAGAATAGTAAAATCCCGCTGCCGGCCGAAATTTTACGCAAGGCCGGGAAAGAGAATGTGACTTTAAATGGAAAATGAGGAAAAAAGGGACTCAAAACCAGTATAACGCCTTTTGGGGCGACTAACGGAGCGAGCGAGAGGGTGGGCCTTGCACGTGCGAAATTGCGAGGGGGTACCTCCAACTGACTTGTGCACGGCACCCTACTAACTGGTCTCTAGCGATGTGCCAAATTTGGGCACAATCGGCCCAGCCGTTCTCGAGATCTGGAAGCGGCACCCTGCACGTGCGCACGTGCAAAATGGGTCCCAACTGACTTGTGCACGGCACCCTACTAACCGATCCCTAACCGTGTACCAAATTTGAGCGCAATCGGTCCAGCCGTTCCCGAGATCTGGAAACGACCCCTGCACGTGCGCACGTGCAGCAGCACCCCATTTCTGGCACATGTATATGCAGTGCCTAGTGGGTGCCTACCTACATGCCAACTTTCAGCGCAATCGGCCAAGTAGTTACCGAGATATTGCAACAATTACAAAACTGACACCTCTTCGTTTTGCACGTGGCACGTGCATAAGGGGTCACCCACATGCATCGGGAATAGTCCAATACCTGGTAGAAGGAATGAAGCTACCCTACAAAAATTATCCCGTGTAAATCGGTCAAGTGGTTGCTGAGATATAAGCCTCGCAAAAGCGTGACCACGGCCGGCCGGCCGGCCGCTCATACTCAGAAATTTCCGTTAATCTAAGGAAAGACTACGCTCGCTTCGCTCGCTCCGTAATAAGGTAATTTAAACGATTTTCATAAGTTTTATGGTTTGTTCACTACTACAAACTCACTTGGCCAACTCCTACCAACAAAACGTGACGTCTTTAGTGGAGAACTTTCATTGTGCAATATGCAATAAGACAACGGACGTTATCCATACAGCATCATGTTCGGTCCGGTTTGGAGAACATTTGTTTTGATACTGATTACCCTGAGATGTTTCATTGTTAGCACCGAACATCCAGAGTACAGTCCCCTCAAAGCAAGACTGGTACAAAATGTCGGAATGTTACCCATGCCTCCACGGATGCGATCGTCCCATGCCCACAGAAGATTTAGAAGTTCAAAACTGTACCTGACCGTGCTTCTACTGATACTTTCTGGAGACATTGAGATAAATCCAGGACCGATACAAGTCATGGGCTCCAGGGATGATCAAAATATGAGGAATGATCAAAATGATGTTACTGAAAACTTTCTTCTAAATCGGACCAAGGCACTTCAAAAGAAATTTGATAGTTTAGATCGACCCGACTATTCGATCACGAGTCGCGATGGCATGCAGGTTA